TTCTGCTCTTCGAAAGACACTAATAAAAGAGAAAAAATACAAACCAAAGACATGGAGAAAATATATGCAAATTCAATATCTGATAAAGAACTTGTATTTAGAATATATAGAGAAATTCTCAAAACTCAGTAATAAAAACAAACAACCCAATTTTTCTAAATGGGCAAAATATTTGAACAGTTACATTATCAAATAAGATGTGCAGATAGCGAAAATATATGAAGAGATGTTCAACACCATTTATCATTAATAGAATTATTAATCAAAGCTACAATGAGACACACACCTATTAAGATGCTGAATTAAAAAACACTGACCAAACTAAGCGTTAGTAAGGATATGGAAGAACTGGAACTTTATACACTACTGATGAAAATGTAAAATGACACAACCACTTGGAAAAACCAGTTGATAGTTTCCTAAAAAGTTAAATATATACCTACCATACGATCCAGCAATTCCATTCCTAGGTATTTGTCAAGCAAAATGAAGGCATGATCATACAAAGACTTGTACACAAATGTTCATAGCAGCTTTATCTGTACTAGACAAAACTTCTAGAAGCGATCCAAATGTGCTTCCCTGGACAAATGGATAAACTGTGGTCTATTCATATAATGGGAATACTGCTCAACACTAAAAATGAATGAACTATCAATACACACAACCAGTGGGTGAATCTCAAAAATAACCATGCCAGGAGCAGCCGGTTAGCTCAGTTGGTTAGAATGCAGTGCTCATAACACTTGAGCACTTTTGTTGGTTCGATCCCCACATGGGCCAAGGAGCTGTGCCCTCCACAATTAGATTGAAACAACTACTTGACTTGGAGCTGATGCGTCCTAGAAAAACATACTGTTCCCCAATAAAAAAATAATAATAACCATGCTGAGTGAAAGAAGCCAGACCAAAAAAGTACATACTATATAATTCCATTTATATAAAATTTGAGAAAATGTGAACTAATCTATAGCGACAGAAACAGATCAGTGATTGCCTGGGGACGGCAGGGAGTTACATGGGAGTTACAAAAGGGCCTAAGGAAACTCTTTAGGGTTCTGCATATGTACATTATCTCAACTGTGGTGTAGTGGTTTCACAGATGTATACATATGTCAAGACTTAGCAAACTGTACACTTTACATATGTGCAGTTCATTATGTCAATCATAACACCATAAACCTGGTTTTTAAAAGAATTTGGTTTAAAAAAAAACACAAACTGTCTCCCATAAATTTTAAAATATTATTCATATAATACTTCTGACTCTGAGGGGCGGCTGGGCCCCTGAAGTTCACCCTGGACCCCGGTGAAGAACCCCTGGTTCAAGTCACCTACCTGCTTTTGGGGTCTCAGGGTTTGAGGGACCCAGTAAGGCAGTGCCGCCTGAGTCCTGGGCACCGGCAGGTGGCCCCTGAATTTGGCCTGGCACTCACAGCACATGGGCTCTCCATGAATAGCACTGGGGGCCGGACACATCTGAGCAAGAGCCAGAAAAGACAGAGTTGAATGTGATGCTGCGTTTGTGATGTGAGCCAAAGAATTCTCTGGAAGAGTAAGTTAATGCTCAGAGGAAGCCAGGGTTGAGGCAGGGTTTCCAGGGACAAGCCTCGGCTCCTCCTGCAGCTCAGAAAGAGGCAGGCGACCATGGCTGGCCCTCCAAAGTCATTGAAGGGGAACTGCCAGAGCCTGCAGACCAGGAGTGCTGGGATTCGGGATCACTTACTGCCATGTGACCATGAGCAAGTCTGTTTTCCCCTCTGAAAATGGCGGAGTACAACCAACTCTAGTGGGGAGATGATTGCTCCTTTTGTGGTTAGGTGTCAATCTATCTGCATATAGTGATTTCCATTTGCAAAGGCTTCCACATCCATCCACGTGATCCTTCCCATACCCACAGGCAGGAAGGAGAGGGGACGTCGTCCTCTCCAGGGGCAGATGACAGAGCTGATGCCCAGAGCAGGTACATTAGGGGACAGTGTTGGTCCTCCCAGGCATCCTGAATTCCTATCTCTAAGTGCTGTGAGGAACTGGGGGCTGGGAGAAGGCAGTAGGTGACCCCATATAGAGGTTTCAGAGACTCAGTGATGGCCCCTACAACCACAGACTCCCATGTTTGACACATCCTCTCATGAGATGCTGCCTCTGGGCCCTCATTCTCCGCTCTCCACACCCCCATAGGGGTGTGTTGGGTTGGGGTCAAGTAGCTGAGGGTTTGCTTTCTTTACCGAAAGATCTGTGAGGCACACTTGTTTCCCAGAGGTTTGAAATGTGCTCTTCCTAGAAAAGAAGAATCGGAAGGCTTAGAAAGTTCCGGGCTTTGTGTAAATCGGAGAATGGAATGCTAGGGTGTGGGCCTGGGCCAGCCTTCTGGGAACAGGGTTCATATCATTAAACCCAGGGGTGGAAGGTGTCATCTTTCTAAGCCTAAGATGGGGTAGGAGGTGACAAGAGAAGTAGGTGTGTTTGGGCTCACATGCTAATGTCTAGGGGGCTACTGTGGAATTCTGCACTCCCCAATCTAACGGGTTGTCGGAAAAGTCATGACATATTTTCTTCTATGTTCTTGTTGCAAAAATGCGTCATGACTTTCCCAACAACCCAATATTTGCTTCAGGTGCACTACAGCTAAAACTGTGCTAGGCCCTTTGGGAAAGACAGGAACATTCTAACCCTGTGAGAACTTTCCAAGACATGGAGCTGCCCACCACAACACCTATGATGCTTTACCAGACACCCCTGAGCTTATTTGGAAAACACTGTCAAAGCTGCACATTTAATGGAATTCCTTCCAGCATAAAAACCTGGGTGCTTGTCTCTGGGATGACAGACTCTGTGTTAGTCTTCCTCATTCTCCCTCCAAAACAAATTGCTAGAATGTTGGTCCTATGGGGTCTCCGGTGGGCATAAATGGGAATATCAGTGCTTTGTAACATGGAAACTGAAAGAGCGGTGCAAGTGCTTTTGTGTTTCATTATTATCAAAATAACCATTATTATTGCTATTTCATTCCAGCAATAGCTTCAGGTCATTGACAGCAACTCACCCAGAAGATACTTGAAAACACAGGGGATGGGGGATGTTGCCTGCACAGCATCCAAGCCCCCAAACCTCCTGCAGGCAATGACAGCATTGTTGTTTCCTTGGGGTGGGGGCGCATACCCATCCCAGTCTATGTAGTTCAAGTGGCTGGAACCCCCCACCCCCCACTCCCGGGCATAAAGTGAGGCCCAGCTCGTCTCAGAGACTGGCTCAAAATGGTGTCATAAACAAGTCAGTCCAATGAAACTCATTTTGAGGCTTTGTGCTTAAATTGTAAGTTAAAGAGAATCTACTTTTCGGTTGAGGTTGTAAGCCTCTCGAGTTCTTGGTGGTCATCTTGCCTCCCGGAGGGAAGCCAGCACACAGGTAAGCAAAGCTGAGAGACGGAGACAAACAGTCCTTGACCACAGTCCTTGAACATCTGGATACATCCATATCTGAAGACCTACCCCTGACATTCTCAGTGAAACAAAACTGCCCTTTTGTGCTTACGTTTTGTGCATAAATGTGGCCTCTGTCCTGCTTATGTGATACAAGTTACTGCTGGGATAGAGTGACTCGGGGGCTCTGGGACCACTCCAGGTGACTGGGACGTTGGGGCTCCTCCAGGCGTAGTGTCCGCGGCTCAGCGTGCAGGACTCAGGGACGCACTTGCCTAGCCAGATGCGCTCGGGGTGTGAGTGCGCGCCGACAGACCCAACGGACATCCGAGAGCTCCCGGAAGTTCCCGCCGCGACTCAGATACGGTCGTGGTGATGGAGGAGGCGATGCTCATCATGATGTGGTGATGAAAGCGGAGGCTACTTCATACACGAGTCACTCATCCCGCGGGTGAGCACAAACAAGCACACATTCCTCTACCAGGTCGCCTACTCGGGGTTCCTCCTCTTCCGCCCGCCTGCCGCTCGGAGGCCCGCCCTTCCGGCCCGACCGCTATTCTGCGTACACCTCCCCGTCCCGCTGATTGGTCTGCGTTCAGCCAATCAGGTGCTGCTTCCTAGGCATGCGCACTTCTAGCGGTTGATTGGACCCTGGCTGCAAGGGTCCCAGGTTTGGCGGGGTAGCGAGGTTAGTTTGTACTGCGATCGCTCCGTCCCCCTCTGTTCTCCCTTCCTCCCTGCTGCCTATCCCGGGTGGGCGTCGGCCCGGGAAGCCCACCTACCCTGATCAGGAAAGCCTACTCACCATTTCCGACTAAGAGGCCTGCAGGTACGCGGGGCGCCCCAGCCTGGGTGTCTGTAAAAGGAGGTGGGACCCACATCCCGGCGTCCTTGCAGGGGCGTGCGGACGCCGGCCAAGGGCTGCTTTCAGCGAGCCACGGAGCATCTTGGCATGAGTCTATCCCAGCCAGGACTTGGGATATAGTACTTTTATTTAATGTCGTTCATTGTTTTCCTGAACATTGTTTTCACATTTAACTGTGCGCCCCGCATTTCACTTGCTGAATATGACAACCCTATCGATGGGCTCAAATTGTGACTTTTAGAGAAATGAGGATTTCTTGAGCCACCTGGGGTTTAAAATGCCATGGAATTCAAAATAGCTGTCATCCTGAGGGTCCCGGTGCTCTTCTGAACCGTCTGGCCTGCTTGCCTTCGTCTCCCCTCCCTCCACCCTCGCTCCACCCCTGCACACGTGCGCTCTGGGAAGCTGCTGAAATGAAAACAGGATGTATATCTTCACATTTTCATAAAGCCAAATGCTTTCTGCCTCTATATGTTCCTTTATGACAAACTCCAATTTCTATTTCTGGGAAACGAGTTTTGTCCCACTTCAGTATTTTCATGAGGATTTGAATACTCTCAATACTGATATTTGCCCAAACCATCATAAACAAGGCCCCAATGTGCTGCATTCTAGCCATGGAGCAAACGATGCTCCCAGACACTACTTAAGCTTTCTTGGATACCGCCACTTAACTGTTAAGGTCATGAATGACCTGTGAGCAGGGCCGAGCTTCCAGCTAGTACACACATGCTCTCCTGGCCAGCACCCATGCTGATTGGGTAATGCCCCTACTAGGTTAGCTGCTAAATATTGCAGACATCACCCCCTGCGTGTGTGTGTGTGTGTGTGTGTGTTTGTAAATAATGTTATCACTGGTCTCTTAATAGCTAATGACAAAATTACCCAGGAATCTCGTGATTAGCCAGGCATTTTATTTATAGCTGTCTTGTTTCTGCCCACCTTGGAGCATTCTTGACCTCCATGCTGTCTCCTTTCTCCTGAGCTCACTGGCACATTGCTGTAGCATAGAGGACAGGCTTATGCCCCCCTGGAAGCTCTGGCACTTACCACCGGGACACTGTCTTACCCTTTCATGTCAAGACTAGCTTATCACGGTTCTCATCCCCGCCAGGAATGGATTGACAATAGCAAGTTTTTGAGGATGTGGCAGTTGGAACCTCCATACATTGCTCATGAAATACATACAACCATGTTGGCAAACTGGCAGTATTTACAAAACCTAAACATGAATACCGGATGACCAAGCAGTTCCTTGCCTGGGTATACCCCCGAGAGAAATGAGAGCTTATGTCCACAAGAAGACGTAGACAAAAACATCCACAACAATGTTCTCTTAACAGTTCCAAACTGGAAATGACCCAAATGTCCATCCATAGGAGATAAGATTTTTAAAAAGAATATATGGCCTACTCACATAGAAGAACATTATGTGACAATGAAGACGAACACACAATTGCAGCCCACAGTAACATGGGTGAAGCACATAGACAAAGAAGCCAGACCCCAAAACATGCATGGGATTCCACCTGTACGATGTTCAAAGCCAGGAGAGCAAATCCACCACACCAGCAGGTGATCCAAAGGACACTGTGACCCAAGTAAAAGGACCTGATCCCAATCCTCACCCTGCCTCTTACTGTATCAGACAAGTCACATAATTTTTGCAAGCCTCAGTTTTGTTAGTAAATTAGGGGTAGCCATAGAACTAATCCCACAGGAAGTTTGAGAAGATCAGGTAAGACAGCATGAAAGGTACTGAAAAGAGCCAGACATAGAGCGAGTATTACATGCACGTCAACCGACACTTACTGAGTGTGGCAGAATCTTTTTTTTTTTTTCCCTTATATTTCCCTTCCCACTTCAAGCAGGGATTGGCTCATTTCCACTGTCTCAGGGGAGAGACATGGGACCAGAGAAGCCCGTGGCTGCCAGACATTTCTCTGCCAGGCTTTCGTTTCCAGAGCTCCCAGGTAAGGGAAGGGGGAGCACACAAGGGCTCTGAGTCCCGGGAGTCGTGGTTCAGTTGTTCAGCATGTTCACCAACCAAGGGTCCTGGATGAGAACATGAGCAAGACTTGCATGTAGCCTGCACTCGGCCTAACTGACCCATGACACATAGAAAAGGAATTCCACAACTCTAAATCCTGTGGGTTAAAACGTGATTTTTAAAAAAAAAAAAATCTAAGAACTGTAATTTTTTAAATCTCACATCCTTCATCGGGGGACTTCTGGGTCCCTCGGAAGTTAAGCATCCCTTCCCTGCCCAGGTTGCACAGTAGTTTGGGTCAAGATCACACCAGGTGCCGTTGACTTGAGTCGGTATGTTCTGTGTTAAAGGCCCCTGCATACAGGATGCTCACTCTCACCCATACTGGGGCCCTGTGTTATATATACCTGGTCCCCATTGGTGGGCATCATCCTGTGCGACTGCTGCCCCAAACCCTTACCCTTTCTTCCTGGGATCAAAGGCTTCATGGTCTCCTTGATTCTCCTCGCCTTTCTGTCTGCGACATTCTAGTGTTCTCTCTCTCATGAGTTGTGTAATGTCAGCGTCTTGGTCCCCCTTGACTTCTCCTTCACTGCATCCTCCAGTGATCTGCTGGGGAACACGGTACCACCATCTTCCTCCTCCTTCCTGTCATCAGAGCGCTGGGCAAGGGGCACAGCCCAAGCCAGGCAGCCAGGCTGTAAGAGTTTGCTCATTTACAAATACCTCGGTCCCCCCACCCCCACCCCGAGCACCAAGGACCCATACCCTAGTGCACTTTCCCTGAGATCACCAACCGTCCTCCAGGAGAAGAAGCGTTCTGAGAAGTATCTCACTCAGCCACAGCGCCCCACGGAAGCGTGCCTTCCAACAGAACTGTGGAACGTTGAGCACAGAGAGAGGCTCCATGGTGATGAGGGCCATCCACAGGGCTCAGGCTCTCCCTGTCCTGGATCCTGGAGGGAGTCTGAGGAGAGGACAGGAATTGGGTCCATGTCCTCGCCAGCCTCCCAGCGCTCTCCACAGGATGCTTATCAGCCACTAGCTGAATGACTGCACAAGGGCGGCCGGCTCGTCCACTGCAGGGTTCAGCAAATCCCTCCTTTGTCACATGGGCTCCCAGGTTGGGATGGCAGCCACCATGAGCCAGTGTCCAGGCACCTGTTGTCGCCTGAGTGGTCACGGCAACTCTGTGAGGTGGGCTCCAGGGCCAAGCCACTAGCAGGTAGAATCCCTGAGACTGTGTTTGGGCCAGTGGCATGCAGAGGCGAGAGCAGAATCAGTTTCTCTCTCATTTCCCCCGCCCCAGTCCAGCAGTCCACGACTCCACACCCAGAGTCTGAGCACTTCCCAGGGTTCAGGCCGTGTCAACCCTTACTGGAATCCCCACAGCAGCCTCCTAGGGGACATCTCCCACCACCTTCCTCACCTACAGTCCCTTCTCAACATGGCAACCAGAGCCGTCTGAGCCTGCTCAGAAGCCTCCAGGGGTCCCCCTGGGTCTCAGAGGAAGGGGCCTGGTCCTCACTATGCCTGGAGGAGGCCATGTGACCTATGCCTGTGTGAATATCAGCACACATGTGCACACACACATAGCCCCACACATGGATACAGTAAACAGTACATCTGTGGTTCAAAATTTCATGAGAAGTATTAGAAAAAAGTGTCTAAAAAGGCTCCTTGAAAGGAGACAATAATGATAAAAAAGAAGGCTGAGGAACATTGTGCTGAATGGAAGAAGCCAGACTGAAAAAGCTACATGCTGTCTGTTCCGTTTATTTGACATTCTGGAAAAGGCAAAACTATAGGGATGGAGAACAGATCAGTGGTTGCCAGTGACGGGCGTTGGGGGGTCTGGCTATGAAGGGGGGCAGCACCGGAGATTTTGAGGGTGACGGAATGTCCCATATCTGGATTGTGGTTCTTGTTCACAGCTGTATGCATTGGGGTCGACTTAAGGAAATGTACACACATTAAAAGGTGACTGTACATAAATTATATCTCAAAAACCTAACCGAGGGAAAGAAAAAGAACAGCTCAACCCTTTCTCACTGACGTGCCAAGGACAGCTAGCTGTTTAAAATCACGTTGAGTATTTTCTCTGGAATCCTCTGCCCAAAAGAGGTTGGAAAAGGAGATATTTGTTATGCAGCAGATGACATAGTTTATGGAAGACAAGCTATGCTGCAGCATCACACTCCTTTGGGGGGTTTCGGGGGTTATGAATGCTCAGACCCTCCCCCCATCCACCCCACTTCCCACTCCCCCGGAGATCATGGTCCAGCATGTGGGGGTTGGCAGATCATGGTCCAGCATGTGGGGGTTGGGAGATGATCATGGTCCAGCATGTGGGGGTTGGGAGATCATGGTTCAGCATGTGGGGGTTGGGAGATCATGGTTCAGCATGTGGGGGTTGGGAGATCATCTCTCCCGATAAGCTCCCTGAGGCCCCCCTGGCAGACGGTGCTGCTGCTGACACAACAGCCATCGCCGCCTCCTGACCACCAGGAGCCAGGGGAAATGTGCCAGGGAAGATGGTCCCGGGGCTGGGGAGGAGCCACAGCTCTGGACCATCTTGGAGACCCCTTCCCTGGGCCCCTGCTCGGGTTCTGGGATTGATGTCCCTCCCAGATCGAGAGGAAGATAGGTGAAGACACAGCACCTTGCCAGCCATCCTGACCCTGCTGGTTCTGAGCCAGGCATCACTCACGCCTAGTCAGGCACCACAAGTCCAATTTCACCTGCCTCTGTCTCGGCCTTAACCTCCCACCGCACTGGGGACACACCATGCCCTGTTGTGTCACTCTGAGGGCCGAGGGGAGGCCACCTCAGCCCATTTACAGGACATTCCGTGCTGTGACCTGTGCAGGCCTGCAGGCCTGGGACCTTGCTGCTTGTTCACCATGTCCCCAATGCTTGGCACCGTATTTGGGGAGCAGAGGTGAAGGTATTGATCCAGTGGTTCACTGGGTGACTGTCCCCCAGGGATACTAGCCATCTCTGGAGGCATTTTAGATTGTCACCATGGGGGAGGCGAGGAATGCTGTTTGGCACCTTACAGCACACAGGACGGCCCCAAACGTGGAGACAGAGCACCTGGTGGAGAAGCCCCGCTGCAAACAAGTAGCTGGGCTGGAGGCAGGAGCGCTGGGTCACAGGGCACTGGCTTCCCCGCACAGATCTTGAGTCTGCGCTTGGCCTGGGCCATGGGCCGTCAGCCCATGAGAGGAGCAGAGCCATCAGGGGCCCTTGGTCTGCTGCTCAGGCCTCACTTAGGTGCCCCCCACACAGGTCCTGGGAAGTCCACTGCCCCTTCACGATTCTGCTCCCTGGGAAGCAGCTGTCCACCCCAGGGCCCGGCAGAGCAGAGCTGGGTGTTGGCACGGGGCCACGGTGTGGGTGGCTGTGGGAACCTGAGCAGAGCATTGGTTCTCTGCAGACACGCCATTTCTGAAAACCACGTCCTGGGAAGGAGCCAGGAAGGCAGCCTTCTATCACTCATGGGTTTTCGAGTCAAAATTGGGGGCAAGCTCTGAAAAGTTGACCCAAGTGGCATTTCTTCGTTGTTTTCACCTTGCTGGCTGGTGCCACACATGTTGCAGTGACCCTAAGTCCCCACTAGAGGACGGGCTACAAAGACACCCCTCTCGAGGGGGCAGAGGGGAGGCCCCAGCAACACAGCCGACTATGGGAAGAAAAGACCACATATGCCCTCGTCCAGCAAGTTGCCACTACAGTGCCTCTAGGGACAGCGGGCCCCCAGATGGAGGAGGGGAACTGGCCCGGCTAGAGGGGAACATGAGGTACTTTTACTTTCTGTGTTAAATATTTACAATTTAAAAACAAGAACATTACTTTTGTAAACAGGAAAAAAGACAAACACTAAGTGAGCTCCTCGGCTGTCTGCCCAGCCACAGACAGAGCACAGCCCCGCCCTTGTCTGTGCTGATCCTATCCTGCTCTCAGAAAAGGCAAACTCACTTTGCCTTTAGCCTAAGAACACCCACTGTGGCCCAGCTCCCTCTGGGCTGCCTCGTTGGGGGTGGGGACACACATGTCAGCCAAGGTCAAAGGGAGGGGTCCAGGGATCTACCCGTCTGGGTTCCCAGGGGTGGGTCACCACTCCATTCCATAACTGGGAAAATCGAAACTTTGTCAAGACCAGGTATTGCAAGGGCAGCGCCCAAGACCCACCACCCCTCTCCCACAGTCATCCCCTCCCACAGCCCATGTTGCTTAGGGTTCCAGCCTCTATTTGAATCACATCCCCAAAGAACCAATTAAAAGCACACAACAAGATTCCAAAAACAGATTTATAGCGTAACAACCCCAGATGGCCTTCCTGCCCTGGTGACACTGGGGCCTAGGCTCTTGGCCGCTGCTTCCTCAGGTCCTGCCCCACCCACCGGTGCCTCCTCCCCTGCCGCAGCCCCAGCCCCAGCCCCAGAGCCCCACCTGGCAAACCCAAGTGGATGCCTGCGAGTGACGGCAGCTCTTCTCATCTCAACTCTCTTTATCATCAATGATTCCAAGACCAAACAGCATAAATGTTTTCCTGCTCCAAGTGGGCCATCGGATCTCAAATAACAATGAAAAGTAAAATCAGGCTAAAAAAGCAAAAGGTTCTGACTCCTCTATGTGTTCTGGCTGGTCTTCCTGGGAGCAGAGAGGACCCAGAAGAGGAAACGCCTTCCTGCTCCACGGCTGCCAGTCACCCACACCCCCTGAAGCAGGCATCTCTCATCCCCAGTCACAGTCTCAGGCAAACTGATGGCACTGTGGCTTTCTTCTACTTTCTAAATACTTCTGGGAGCACACAACCAAATTACATTCCAGCTCTTCCCCCCAAAAATAAAGACAGAGAAGTTAGCCTAGTTAACACCGGGACAGACCATGAATTATGAATTGGGGTGTTTTCTCCGCAAGCCAGGTGAGGGTTATATGAGGACATCCCCACAGCACTCTTAACAGATGGAACATGAAGGTAGTGCACAGAACAAAAGGGTTCCAAAAGAACATGACTTCTTTCTCCAAGCTCTGAGTCATAACGTCAGGCTGCTCGGAGTCTACACACCAGACACCGTGGTCCCAAGGAGCTCAGGCAATTCCGAGATGCCTGTGACCACGTTCACCAAGTGACAAAGGGACAGAGCAGATAGGCTTTCTGTTGTTCTCAGTCACTGCTCGTGGGCACTAAAAAATGACCTCACAGTGGCAGTGCAAGAAAACCTGGGCAAGCCACCAACTCAAAACCAGCCCTGAAGTGTGGTCAGGGTGGAGAGATCAGCTGGCTAAGGGAGCGGTCTTGGCTGTCTGGGCTGCAGCAGTGAACTCCAAGTTCTCGGTGAAAGAGAAAGCTTGGCACATCAACTTGGCCTCTGGGCTAGTTCTGCATGAAGCAGGAATAGAGGCCCACCTGCATCTAGCCAGTTGGCCACTGTGTGCACTCCCCGCCCTCCACATTGGCCAGGACTTGTCTGGTCCTGAGCTGCCCGGCATCAGGACAGGAGAGTACGGGAGGGGAGCAGGGCAGGTATGGCAGTGAGCACCAGCCACAGTGAGCCAGACGCCAGGCAGGGGGACCTGGGGTGTGGCCAGGAAGGGAGGTCCCAGTCTGGACCAAGGAACGAGGGAGTTGGAAACCCTCCCATCTCCACGAGGCCTCCAAACCTGTTCACACTCAGCAGTGGATGCTGGAGGTCTGAGCTGGATGGGCAGATATAACTGGATATACTGCGAGGCCTGTTGTCACATAGCTGAAAAAAACAAGGTCATTTGCAACAGCCTCATGCAATGAGCATTCAGCCTTGATACAGAAGAATCTCCAATGACGTGTGTCTGAAAACGCCAATCACCCTCTTCAGGTAGGCAGCAGAGATGCAGCCGAGGTTCCTTCCAGGCCATACAACACCTATCCACCCTCACAGCAGGAAGGTGGCAAGGCGAAGGTGGTGCCAACGATGGAAAAACGTCTAAAGACCCTCCTAGGTCCACCTGTCAACTTCCCCAAATCAAGCACCACATGGGTGGAGCTGGTCCCTAAAGTGGATCATTCCGGTTCCTTGCTGGACCTGCAATGAATTAACTGGTTTGAAGTTCCCCTGACGAGCCGCCTGACCATTCCCTTGACCAAGGGAAGCCAGCTGGTCTTGCGTCCCTGCACACTCACCTGCTGAACCGGAAACTGAGAGCTGGCTGAGGACACATCAGAATGGGAAAACAACACGTACTCTGGATGACAGGCTGGGTGGACAAGCCCTTGCCTTCACTGCTGCTCGCCCTGCAGGGCCTCACTGTGGGCCACTGCCAGCGGCCACTCCACAGGCCCTGGCGTCCCACCTCACACCAGAGACAGGGCCAACATGAACACAGCCAACAGCCCATGGTTATTTCAGTCATTATTAGTGGAAACGATGGATAGATCCAAACACCAAAAGCAGGTTACATCATTCAGATCTGAGATTGGGTTTTAATCAGAAGTGCTTATCTTCGATCTGTTTACACTTCACAATGCTTGGGAGGTCTCAGATGGAGATGAATCCCTTAGAGCAAGCCTCGGGCTCTGGGTCAAGTAGGCAGGTTTTATTTAAGCAACTGGAACTTAGAGAACAGCTTGCATGCCCAGTTGTCCTTCACTTTCATTTTCCTCAAAGCTTCATGGCCATAGTTATCACCGTTGAGGCCTGGCCACACGAGGCATGAGAAAAAGTCACACTGCAAGACAGTGGAGGTGTGACACTGCTTTCAGACTGTCCTATCAAAGACAAGGATACTGGGACCATGCCTCAACTTGACTGCAGGACCTGATAGAAGGATCTAGAAGGTGAGCCGTGGGCGTGCATCTCTGACAGGATTCAACTGACAGCACCAGGCAGCTGAACTCTGCTGCTGCCCGGGAGGGACCCCACCTTCTCTGCTTGCCTCTCCCAGGTCTTCCCAGAACCTCCTGGAAGGGCCAGTTTGCCATTTTGGGTCTGTACCCCAAAACTTGTCAATTCTATGATATTAGGAAGCAAAGGAAGGTCCAAGTTGCCAAACATACTGAAGCTCTGGCAATGAGATTTTTTATTTTTAAAAAAAGGTCAGTCAGGGAGACATTGGGAAAACAGAGTACACATTTCACGGGACAGCTTAGGTTGGTCTCTTACATGAAGGCACCACAAAGCTGCCCCCAGTGTGAGGGCTCGGCACAGTCCACCCAACAAGGACAAGCGACGGAGCGGGAGACAAAGTCTGCCCTGCCCCCTGTGAAGTGCACTTCTGGGCAGGTGGTGTGGAGATGGCTCTCTGTGGGCTGCAGGGAGAGCTGAAATATTCTCGGAGGCTTGTACACATGTAGGGCTTTACTCTTCAGGGGACATGGGTCAGCAGGGACCTCAGAGGGTGTCCCCAAATGCAGGTGCCAACCCGATACGGGCATGCCAGCAGAAGGGTCCATGCTTGGGGTCTCCATGAGAAAGGATCCCGAGAGTTCTGGTCTCCAAAGTGCGCCCCTATCAGTATGGTGTGACTTTTCTAGAAAGCTGCCCTCTCGCCCGCAAAGGGGCTGCACAGTCATTGTGTGCAGCCATTTCTGGCTCTTTCATTGGGATTCTGACACCAGACCCTGTGCTGTGCCGGGGGAGGGGACGGCATGTACGCAACAAGGGCCGACTGGAACTGGCAGTAGTGAAGGTTTAAAGCTGGAGAGAGGTCAGGGAAAGCACATGGGTGCAGCCTGGGGACCAGGGCCGGCGGGCGG